GTCTAATTTCCATCTTACTACAAAGGAAATCGATTTTGGTTCTATGCTCAACTAAATATCGATACTCAGTATTGAGTCAAAGAAAAATTTTATCATAGAATTAAAAAAGATGTACCTAAACTGACAAATGGTAATCAGAACCTTCAATATTCGACTATATTTCATAAATAAAATATGCAATTGTTTAGCTACGTACACATCTCAAATCATCGTGACATGAAATCGAAATGCACTAAATTTAAATTTACTGTTCAGTTAATTTTGATTATCTCCGCTCGGCTTAAAATTGCCTTAGTGATTAAACGCAGTTACCTTGTTTATGATCGTCTCTTTCTTAATACACACACACACCTGGCAATCGTTGAATCGATTGCTTGACAATGCTTTGCCAGCGAATTAAGGAATTTGATGAACGGTTTCTAAGGGAAAGGCCAAAACAAACAATAGGTAATTTAAAAATAGATTGCATTTTGTATAACATTTTATTCACTCCCGACAGTTAAAATCAGTTTGGTGTTAAAATAATAATATATATTGGTGTAAAAAGCTTTGATCTCTATGTATTCTCAAATGGATATAACACCGAAAATCTCTATCTACCAACCAGTTTGAGTTTACGCCTATCTGAGAATATCCATCATTGTAACCTGCTTAAAACAAACCCGATTTGAAGAGACGGTATGTAGTCTAAGGTATTAGTGCTAGAAGATAGCCGGCTTTACTTTAAATCATTTTGAGTTCAAAGTGGTCTTTCTAGTATAATTGGAAATTTTCCTATGAAATCGTTGGAACCCAGTGTACTAAATTCTTAAATAAAGTCAAAACATTTCAAAAAATATCTATGAAAAGTCTAGTTCGTTGCTATTAGTCATCTGGTAAACATTTCTTTTGGAAAAGAAACCAAATTGGCAACAATATGATTTGCGATAATTATCCACAATATTTGGTGGTTATATCAAATCGCGCTCTAATATTTGAATTTTAGTTTTAAAACGATTCAGGTCACCACCAATGGCTTTGAATGGCCTATGCACGGTTGTATTTTCTCTACCGGGCAATTCAGTTATGACACCAAGAGTACAACCATCTCTCCACGATCTCCAATTCCATGGGGGTTGGAGATCTCAACTGGAGAATTTTGGCTTACCAGTGCATTGAGGAATTAAGAACCAATTTCAATCTAATTTCCTGCTTCGAAAGTATTTTAAAATGGAAGTTCCTTGACCACAGTTCAAAAGATGCTACGGATTCAGGATGAAGAAATTTTTCTAAGATGTTAATTCCAATTAAAAAATGGTTTGGGACGTTTTTTGTTCAATTCATTTTGTGTTTCACATTGAAATCTAAAATAAATAAATAATCTCTTTTTGATTGAATTATCTTCCTTCCAATTTACGTCTGTGCCTCAAAAGTTAATAAATATTTAGTATATTCAAGTAGTATTACATTGTGCTAAAGTAGTTGACGTCGGCTGACAGGAAGGGTTCTTGGAGTAACTCCAGGAGAGTTTCACTTCTCCCAATTTTTTGGCTTCGGATTGGGCAATATTTACAAAGTGGGAATTTCAAAATCTCAAGGTCAAATTTTATGAGTTTGCCTCTTGCTTGAAGCGAATGTTTGTCTACGATGTCTTTCAGCCTTGCCGATCCAGTTCTCTCCTTTTAGCTTTTAATGGTTGAGAACTCAGAGCACTTCAGCAGTTTGTGCAGGTGAAACCGACAACAATTTAAGCCTAACAGAGATTGTCCAAAATGAATAATTTAACATTCTTTAATGTGCATCACAACGAGATATTTCAATATAGCTCACTACTGAATAAGGTGAATGTGATCATGAATACCCTCCAAGGCATCATTGAAGGACTAAATTATGATTCAACACACAAAAGTCCATTAATCAATAACAATTATAGTTAGTGAGCGGTCTAATTAGATATGCTCGCATAACTTATACCTCGATAGTAATTATTGATTGCCTTCTACATTATTATTAACCGCAAACCTATATTCCACTTTGAAAGTGGTAAAGTGCTAATTTCAACTAATTATAGTGTTCTAGTTGTGATAAAATGCTTTAATTAAATTAGTTACCATTTGGATATTTAAAACTTCCTAGTTATCTATGAGTTTTAACAAAGCCAAAATGAAATAGCTCAATGCTTTCATATATTTTTTCAAAAAAACATCGTGGATTCACAAAGTATTGCCATAGTATTCAATTTTGGGGCGTGTGAAAGACTTACCTCCACGTGGTGCACCCTGGACAACGTATACTCATACGGCAAAGCCTATTAACCGGCAGCTGACTTCTGACTTCAAACTACCACCACCCCACTGTATGTCATATTCGACTAATTCCTCAGTATTCACCTCACTTTTTTTACCTTTTCTACCTTCGTCTTGGAAACACTCTTCTATTCCCCCCTCTCGACTTTTATCACTTTGATGTACCTCCTCCTCTCTGTGAAGCGCGAGGTCAACTAAAGGGCTAATGATAACCATCAAAACGCCTCCCATTTGAAATGAATGAATGAATGATAATATTCAATTTTCTTCGCATGACTTTCACTGCTTACTTGATTTGCTCACTTATGAAATGAATTTTCTACTAATAAAATAATGTTAATTTTAAATCATGAATATTGACGCATTAATCGAATTCCTTCAAGTTGGTGATTCGGGTTCGGGTCTGCCCGAGACAACCGGAAGACTTTGTTGCAGGAAGAACTTGAAAAACGGATGTACCCGAAATGATAAGGAGAGAAAAGCTGATGAAAAGAAATTTTAAGTCGGAAGAACCTCACCTTGTAGCAACGGTAGAAATGATGACTTTGGAACACAGAAGAAATAATAACAGCCTATTTCCAGGACTTTCAAATCTACGGACTCTGCGTCTAGAAAGTTCCCCATGATGAAAGGTCGTAAAGATGGTTGCTCTACCTTGGTAAAAAAAGTTTTAAATCGTTTATGTCGAAACTTTTAATTAACCCTCGAGGAGGTTTAAACAAAAATGTTAATTGGATGAAGAACCTTTTAATGCTTTCATTATAACATTTACTGAGGATACGAGATCGTACCAGATGAGCGCACCGTTCATGTTCACTTAATTTTTTGAAATAAATCTTCAAATTTAAAGGAATGCGCTTAAATGCATATCTGTAAGATATTTATTTATTTATATCACATGGCAGGCGTTTTGATAGTTATCATTAGCCCTTCAGCTGACTTCGGGCTTCACAGAGAGGAGGAGGAACATCAAAGTGACAAAAGTCGAGAGGGGGGCAGAATAATGATGCATAAATGTAAAAGAGACAGACAGACAGACACAAAAAGGTAGAGAAAAGGCGAAGTGAGTACTGTGAAAGGGGTCGAATAGGACATATAGTGGGGTGATGGTAGTTTGAAGTGAGAAGTCAACTGCCTGTTAATAGACTTTTTGCCGTATGAGTATGCGTTGGCCAGGGTGCACCACGTGGAGGTAAGTCTATTGCACACCCCATCTGTAAGATATTAAAAGTGGCATGAGGATTTTGTATGTGTTCTTTTACGATATAATAACCTGCCAACAAAATCAAATTGAATATGGCTTCTAAAAAAATTCATTATATGTACCATAATGGTGCATTATATACTCATACGACAAAAAAGTCTATTAACCGGCAGTTGACTTCTGTCTTCAAACTACCATGGCCCGACTGCTTGCCATATTCGACCTTTTTCACAGTACACATCTTACCTTTTTCTCTACCTTTGTGTCTGTCTGCCTCTTTTACATCTGTGAATCGCTCTTCTGTACCCCACCCCTCGATTTTCTTCTACTTTGATGAATCTTTCCTCTGTGAAGCCTGAAGTCAGCTAAATGGTTAATGATAGCTATCATAACGCCTGGCATTTAAAATAAATAAATGATGCATTATTTTATCAATTATACTTTAAAAACTGATGTGGTAATTGTGAATGAATTTATGTCAACCTATCATGATACCGGTTTGAGTTCAAGTTGAGTTAGCACAACTTATGTAACTCTATTGACTCTCAAATGCTATTTCCCATTTCTGCTACGCCAAAATGATGAGCAGAGGAATTCCAATCATTAAAGAATTGAATTGAGGAGGCAAGATAGAGCCTCCATAATTAAACAAAACTGGTCAATAAGCCCTGTGTAAATTAGATGGACATTTACTACATTCCAGGGAACTCCCACTTAGTATAGATCGTACAGACAAAGCTGGTTCAATTAACCTTTTAATCGTCACTCTATCATATTCATCGGTTGTTGAATTTACTATGATTGGATATCGGGGTGTGCGATAGACGTACCTCCACGTGGTGCGCCCTGGCCAACGCATACTCATACGGCAAAAAGTCTATTAACTGGCAGTTGACTTCTCACTTCAAACTACTATGGTCCGACTGCGGGTCATATTCGACCCCTTCCACAGTACCCACCTCGCCTTTCTTCTACCTTTGTGTCTGTCTGTCTGTCTGTCTATCTCTTTTACATCTGTGAAACATTATTTCCCCCTCCCCCTCTCGAATTTTTGTCTCTTTGATGTCCCTCCTCCATCCTCTCTGTGTAGCCCGAGGTCAGCTAAAGGGCCAATGATAACTATCAAAATGCCTGCCATTTGATATAAATAAATAAGTGATTGGATATCAGTTGCTATCCTCAATTTACATTTTGTAATTGAGAATGTAATTATTACTGTTGAGGTTAAATAATAATAGTAATTAGCATCGAAGACTTTTTAGCAGATGAACTATTTAAGGGTCAAATAATGGCTCGTAGGTCGTTATTTGCTCGTTGGCATTATCGAATGGTCACCAGTAATGAGGGAGAATACGATAACTTATACCAAAGGTGTGCAAAAATGTGTAGATGACGGTGAGTATCTTCTATTCAAATTAAATACTTATTTTCATACCTTGTTTAAGATACCATCGATTTTGCCCTCAATTATGTTAACTTATTTAAATTAAGGCAACCCTTTTGAACTTCAAATGCTGCACCGAGAAGACTCATCGAATCAGTATACCTCGTTTTACGTTGCTACAGCACCGCCTTCAAATGCATCTCCATGGAATCAAAAATCGGAAGAATGCAATGCGGCTAATTGGGCTAAAGATTCGTTAGCGACCAACACAATTAACGAGGCGTTAGCACAGACAATCAATACATCCCATCTGTCTGAAGCTAGTTACATTAGCGAACCCACGCCTATGGAAGTCGACGATGAACTGGAAGCCAAAGATAGACAGCTTTGTCCCCGTATATATTTTGATAACGCTGACGATAAGTTCGGTTGTCCTCAAACATACGAAGAAGAACTTGAAGTGAATTCTGATAAACAAGGTTTGCTTCATCATAATTAGTCGGACTAAATTCTCTTAACCCCTCGTTAATTTGCATATGCATTCCATTAGTTCAAGGTTTTCCAGTGCGCGATGAAGGAGAAAACGACTTACCGAATTTCAGACAAGGCTCTTCTTGGTCTTCTTCTTCGTCTGATTCTTCATTTGGATCAAGTGATAGTTTGGATCAATACGATTGATTAAATTAGTTATGAGTCACTAAGTGGTTGATTCAATCGATTATCCAAACACGACCTGCATATTTCATGGACAGGTCATTCTCAAAAATACATATTCCTATGGTGAACTTTTCTTTTTCACTGAATAGTCATTTCATTTAGAGCATAGGGAACTTATAGAAATGACATCTTTAAAAATTATGCCCAGCCGGGCGGTTGCTTATAGATTTGTGTTTCATATCAAGACATATGAACTCAGGGAAGCTATTCATTTAGTATGTTAATGATGTATTTATCTATTTATATCAACTGGCAGGCGTTTTAATAGTTATCATTAGCCCTGGAGCTGACTTCGGTGCTTCACAGAGAGAAGAAGGGACATCAAAGTGACAAAAAGTCAAGATGGGAGACAGAATAATGATTCACAGAGGTAAAAGAGACAGACAGACAGACACAAAGGCATAAAACCGGTAAGATGAGTACTGTGGAAGGGGTCGAATATGACAAATAGTCGGGCCATAGTAGTTTGAAGTCAGAAGTCAACTGCCGATCAATAGACTTTTTTGTCGCATAAGTATACGTTGCCCAGGGTGCACCACATGGAGGTAAGTCTATTGCGCGCCCCCCCCCCCCCTATTTTCTGATCTGATTCAAGTCACTGCTGGAACCTGGGATTTTGATTAGTTGTCTTATTTAAATGATTAATCATAGCCAAAAAACTTCTTGAATGATGACAGCTAACACTATTTTCACAAAATGGGGTGTGCGACAGACTTACCTTCACTTGGTGCACCCTGGGCAACATATACTCATTCGGCCGAATGGTCTATTAACCGCCAGTTGACTTCTCACTTCAAAACTATCATGACCTCACTCTATATCTTATTCGACCCCTTCCAAGGTACTTATCTTACCTTTTCTCTGTCATTGTGTCTGTCTGTCTCTTTTAAATCCGTGAATAACTCTTCTGTTCCCCACCCCTTGACTTTCTGTTACTTTGACTTTCCTTCCCTCTGTGAAGCCCGAAGTCAACTAAAGGGTTAATGATAACTACCAAAACGCCTGCCATTTGATATGAATGAAGAAATAAATGTTTACAAAATAAAGTTTTGTCAGGTTGAACTCGTAGTTACTTTCTATTTGTTAAAGCAATTGTGTGTGCAATGTATGACAGTTTAGCCCAATTCGAGGTTAACTCACCAGAATTCTAGTTGAGTCCAATGATATTTCAACAGAAGAGTGTGATTTTCATTGAGCTAAAGAAGCATGTTCGAGCGTAAGTAATGGAATGTCAATTAACAGACGTATGCAACTCGGAGAACAAATAGTAAGAAACACCAATCGAGCATTATTAACATAGTTTGTTAATTAGAAAATCCCAATTATCAAATCACAATAAGTCGAGGTGAGGGGGAACAGAAGAGTGATTCACAGATGTAGAGGAGACAGACAAACACAATGGC